AAAAATGGATTTAGAGTTTAGGGTTTAACAGGCCATCAGACATAATTTCGTGCATCCGTTCTATGACTCACAACCCAGCATCCTATAAATGAGCTATATTCTAAAGTCCTGAAAGGGGAAAAAAGGGGACTACTATAGGGGTTATAAAGGGGGATACTAGGTGTTTAGACCCAAAACCCTAACCCTAAACCCTATATCATAGGGGCAGCTTATCGCAACGTGCAGATTTCAAGATCTACAGATCACATGAAGGGGCTTCCCTAAGATGGGGTTTAGGGTTTAGGGTTCAGGGTGATGAAATAGGGGTGCTTTGTTATTTTTGGGAGTCCCTATAATAAGGATTTAAAGAAGTTTGGGTCTATGTTGGGGTCCCCCTAGTTAGGGAAATTACCATCTTTTCTCGCTGGGACATGCTTGGTCTGCTCAATTTTTTTTGCCCAAGTTTAGGACCCCATATAATTCCTATAAAATCCGTTGATAATCCTATATAATCTCACTCAAACCCTTACAGAATACCTTCTCTCATTCCCTACTTCACCCCCGGCTTACCTTCTCATAGTAGCGGCCTAGCATCACGTCCATCCCACCTAGCCCTTGAGTTCTCAGCTCTCCAAACGAAATGCCGGAAGGCCCATCCGGGTTTGAAAATTGGGACATCCCTCGTAACTGTGCCTCCAAAAGTATGGTGCTTCTCATCAAGGTGCAGAAAGTGATTTATGTTTTGGGAAGCTTCCCTAAACCCTAAGCCCTAAATCCTGAACCCTAAACTTTAAACTTTAAACCTTAAACCCTAAACTCTAAACCTTAAATCTTAAGCCCTAAGCCCTAAACCCTAAATCCCTGAACCCTAAACCCTAAACCCTAAGCCCCTTAACCGCTATGAACCATTCAACTGAGGCTTCATGTGCGCTGCGAGGCGCAGAGTGCACCAAGTGTCCTCAAGGCAGGTCACTCGGCGGTTTCCCTCTGGAATTTGGGGTTTAGGGTTTTAGGGTTCAGGGATTTAGGGCTTAGGGTTCTAGGGTCTAAGATTTAGGGTTTCGAGATTTAGGGTTTAAGGTTTAGGGTTTAAGGTTTAGGGTTTAGGGGTTAGGGTTTAGGGGTTAGGTTTAGGCCCCTCCACGCGCCCCTAAGAATTCAATACTCCAATGAGGGTTGTAACATTGTAGTATACTGGGGTCTATATTTCCCTAAACTACTTGTCCTTTTTGGGGTCCCTATAATGAGGCTTGTAGTATACGGGAGTTTATTTTGGGGTCCGGCATTTAGGCATACTACTATTATGCTGAGGGCTTTGGTGCACCGAACTCTAGTCCGTGGTCGCTTACACCATAGACCGGCAGCCCTTACTGCTCTCAGCAAGTAAAGGTTATACAAGGATGCAAACATATGAACATCATGGAAACCCTAAACCCTACACCCTAGGGGAACCATCTCTTCCAAATGTCCCGCCTCGCCTTTGAAGCATACAGGCGGCCCCTGCGGACGATTTGGGGAAGTGGCAACTCGCCCTGTTTTGCCTGTCGGCTCGCGTGAGGCATTCAGTGGGGGTCCAGACCTGTCCGCCTCGAGCACCAGAGAATCTCCAGCTCAAGACCTGATGATAGTTTAGGGCTTCAGGGTTTCAGGGTTTAGGTGTAAGTTGTAGGTAAACTTTGTGAGCAATGTTTTTCTGCGGCGTTCTGCCCGTAGATGGTTGTCAGGGCTGTTGAGATATTTGTATGGCTAGCTCGAGTCGCTGGATGCGTCGTGGCGCCGAGTTTAATCCTGGCCCAGCCTGGCAAAGATGATGGCTTTGTACAGGCTCCGTTTGCATCTTCTAGGTGGCCTTGAAGCTATGCCGCTGCTTTGGCGGCTCTTAATTCAAGTGCAACTTCCCATACGCTTCCTGATAATTCATTCAGCTCATCATCAGCAGATTATGTCTGTGGAGGAGCACGGAATTCAAAGGGAAGGACCTCCAGCCACCTCAGGACAGTGTGCTGCAGCTCTCCTGCTAATCGGGATGGACAAAGAGAACAATAAAGTACGTGATTCATAACAATGAAGTTAACAATAAAATTGTTAATCACATTATCACAAGTTTAACAAACATGTGTTTTCTCTGGCTTTCCCCATGGCTGTGGTGAAATCGAGAATAAACATCGGGCTGATGCACGTTGCCTTCTTTGTGAAGCAGGTTTTCAACCAGATGCGCCACAATCTAAACTCCTTAAGGAGTGTTATTTACGGGATGATATAGGGGAGTATTATAAGGGGGCTACTAGGAGTGTAGACTCTAGCTCAGAAATGATTGTCTGAGCCCATGCAGGTTCTTTGCATGGATTTCGGTGACAATCTTTGGCCCTTGCAATCTTATCTCCTACAAGGAGGCCCGGGCCCGAGTATCTCTGAGTCTTGAGTAGCTCTAAGGTTGAAACCATGGGCCCCTAGTATGGGCCCTTATTCCTCGGATATTTATATACCTGCCGGTACCCTGAAGGGTCCCTGGAATTCTGCTAGAAGGCCTGAGGGCCCAGATTAGGGGCCCGTAGTTCTGACCTTAGATTTGCAGCACTACTCGCTACAAGTCGATGTTTGTGGGACGTCCACGTTGCAAACTAGTGCGTAACATATCGCTCTCTGATCGTTCCTGCTTGAAAAGGAAAGGGCGGCTATGTGACAGATTGAAAGAGCATGCTCTTGTCGAAACCAGCAGACGAGTCCTTGCTCTCTTGTAGTTCAAAGGCTTGTAAAAATCAGAAAAATATGTCGGCTCTTTTCCAGGAGCTCTAGAATAAGGATCCGCGCGTCCTGGGCCAAGCAGGGAGACCTTGTAAAGCACTGTTCAAAATCGCTCGGGTGCCCGACTAGCAAGTCAAGTTTATCGCTGTTGTGTCCAGTCATGCTAGTACATGCGCTGAGGAACCCTAAGCCCTAAACTCTAGAAAGTGAATAATTCCCCTAACTCCATCTATCTTCAGCCCTTTGCCCGCATCCCGGTAATTCCTAGAATGGAAGACCTCAATTGGGTCATTGCTGAAGGACCTTGCAGATTTGGTGATAGTGCACCACCCCCAGAAAAGCAGAACTAGTGGACCCCCCCTCATTGCGCATTTGCGATCCTAAGCAAGGAGCATGACTTCATGTGGGAATTTCTTTGCAGCTGAGATTCTTACCTAGCTGTTCTTCTGTTGGAGTTCACATATGTTGGGCGGACAGTTTGGGGCCTTAAACTTCATAATCTCAATCATGATCCCCACACAATCTCTAAGCCCTAAACCCACAGTGCTTCACCATTTTGAATGTGATATAGAGAGTGAGGCGCACAAAGACCCTCAAAACGACTTCATCTTACCCGAGGCTTAGGGACATCTACATACACAGCAAAACTAACTATGTGTAGAATGTAAATGTTTCGTACGTGTAAGTCATTTCCACTTATATATATATATACATGTATAGGGAGAGGAGGACGACCTGCGTTCCTCGCTCATACTTGCACAGAAAAAAGAACACACAGGAGTAAATAAAAACGAGTAGGATTCTTAACAGGGACCCCACAATCCCGTGTAATCCCCACACATATATAGGGTCCTCAGGGCCACCCTTTTTTTGAGAAGCCCCCACATCATGTCATCAACCTGCTACCCTACACCCTAAACCCAAATCCCAAAACCCAGGAGGGCGAGCCAATCCTGGTGAACAAGGACCTAGACACGCTCCCAAGCGCCTTCTACGCCATGCCCCTTGCCTGCATAGGAGCTATAGTCTAAACTCTTTAAATGGGGGCTATACAAGGATGATCTAGGGGAGTATTGTTGGGGTTACTAAGGGGGGTACTAGGAGATTAGACTATAGCTGGTAGAGATGCACGAAAAGACGCCTTCCTCTTGAAAATGTACAGCCAGCAGGCAAGAACCAAACAGAGGCCCACATGACGTCGTGGTCTAATTGAGCTGGGTTTGAAGCAGCGCGTGGTCCCAACTAAAGTTCCTTCTGCAGTGGAGGTTCGTGGCGGCGGTAACTGGTGAGTACGTGGATGTGCCTTGGATGTGAACTGGGGTTGAATATTCTACAGAGGCCTTCATGTTCCACCTGACAATATTGTTGCATTCTTCTGCATGTGAGCATAGCCTACATACCTTTTCATGCACACGTGCGTGTGGGTGTCTGTATTCTTGGCATACAGTATGCATATATGAAAAAGGATATACGCAGGTACATGTGCATATATGGTGTTTTAGAAACGCCACGCACTCCCAGTGAGCGTTTGGGGTTGTTTCGTGTCTGCCTTGGACCTGAGGTTCCAGAACTGGGTTCGTAGCAAACCAGTGGTCTCAGGTGGATGTTCCAATGCAGGATGTAAACCCTAAACCCTAAACCCCTAAACCCTAAACCCTCTCCAGCCAATCTGGTGACCTTGAGGCAGGTTCTAACCTCTGGCGTGCCCGCTCTGAACTACACAATCCAACCCTGGAATGGTAGCGTACGCATATGCTGTGTTGAAGCGCATCTGAGCACCCAACCTTGGAGACTGAAAAACGCTCACAACTTGTGAAAGTCTAGGCTGTTTTGTTCCACGACAGCTATAATCCTCAT